ACGTGTGCTCTTCCGATCTCCCCAAAACCCCAAAACCCCTCCATCTTAGTATCTCTTAAATTTTGCGAAATACAATTAATATTATTTGATAATACTTTATTTTTATTTAACAATAAATATGAAAACTTCATAATATCTCTTTATAACTGCTATCCTAGTAATCTTGTTGGAATCTTCTTAAGCAGTAAAAACTAATGCCTAGAAGACAAAACTCTCTCAATCATTAAGTTTTATCAAAACCAAGCTCGCAAGCAGAAATTAAGACAACTCTACTAATTCAACTGATAGCAACGGCGATTCAGAAAGCAATTCAACCAATTCTAACGATGATTTACCAGTTAGTTGTCCTAACGGTCCCTACAACTTAGATGAATATGACTAGGAAATCTTTGATAACCTTGTTGATGATGCTTGGCAAGTTGTTTTAGACTACGGATTATATACTTATGATCAAGAGGATACATTCAGAGAAGAAGCTGTAGATTCTCTTCAGGAAATCTGCTACTATGTCCAGTTCGAAACTTTTGTGAATGAAACTAGAGAGGCTCTTAACTATCTCAGACAAGCCAACTAAACCTTAGTTCAATGGACCCCATCTGCTGAAGATTTGAAATAAGTTGATAAACTAGTTGCACAGTATCTAGTTGAATTACTACTAGTTAAAGAAAAAGAAATTAGAACTCTAGCTGAGTCTTTGACTAACTCAAGCAGAAATGAAAATGAGTTCAATAGCTCTGTCTCTTATCTTGAAACATAAGTCAAGAACAAAATTGATGAACTTAATGGATACTACAGTGGCAGCTAATACAAAGCACAAACTAAGAATACGATAAAAAGAGCTCAAGTCAAAAACTTCTGGGATAATGTTGTTGCAAAAGAATGAGTCTAATTCAAACAGAAAATTAATTGAATTTACTTAATATAACCGCCTTTTATATTACTTTACTTAACAGACCTTTAACCGCTAATTAATATTATACTAGCAGCCATTTCTAAATAGAAAATTACGTCATATAATATATTTCATTATAATTCTTCTATATATAGTAGATAAAAGTAATCATGGGGTTTTGGGGTTTTGGGGTTTTGGGGTTTTGGGG